TGCAAAATAAAAATTAACAAATAAACAAATTTTACAGTTGCTACAAGGAGTGTGTGAGTACTTTATTGATCTATTACAAAATATAAAATTGAACTGAGAAGTCGCCCACGAATCCACATACTGGCATTTCTCTTCAAGGCTACTATGAAAATATCACACAGTTACCATAGGATTATGGGTGACCTACATGCACGCTTGTAACAGGTACGAGTAAGGGAATCGTTCTTCGTAAAGTGTTATGAAGTCGTACTTTTTTCATGTGTTTTCTCTTTTGTGTAAACAAAGAAAACACCTCTCTTCAAATTTCGTCACATAACAAAAAAAATAACATAAAAAAATGTTGATAATTGCAGACAATGTTAACTGAGAGATTTAATTATGGAAATATAAAATTATTTGCTCCAATACACCTTAAAAATACACAGAAGATTGTATCGAAGCCTTTCGTAGTTATCTAGCAAGACAAGTTAACCATACTGTCCGATAATAAAAGTTAAAGAAGTATAGACAGATGACGTTAACAGAGACGAAATGTTGTTTTGTGGTGATTACTTTTTATCCTGTATTTAAGTGTTTTTACTTTTTGTCATTTTTTAAATATAGGGATACTTCCTTTACATTAGTATTAATACCAATTAGTTGCTGTTACAGTTAGGTTGTACATGTATGTATTTTTAACCAGGTAGACACGTTGAATCTAGGAATTATTAAAACCCTGTAAACATATTTAACATCAAAAGTGAATAGGTAATGACGTGTCACATAACATTTACTATAACACCAGTAGACACAAGTTCAAAATCAGTTCCATCTTAGCTGACTCACGTGTAGACTTCTAAATAAACCATATGCTATTCCAATAAATACTCGGTTATCAAGCTATTTTGTACACACACACACACAGACACAAAAGGTTTACAAAAACAATCTAGTAAGCGTCATTTTAATGTTTGAACTTTATCTTGGTGGGCACAGCACAAACAAATAGCGTTTAACAACAAACAAAACTTACCCCATCGAATGAAAACTTTTAAGGGGAAAGAAACCAGGAGTAAGACACGACAAGCTTCAAAATAGAGTAGGAAAATAACATGTACTTTTTTTTCTATAACATTGTGGGTCAGTAGGTTACACAACAAAATGTTGTTATGTAAAGTTTGGGTCATTTCGCGTTTAAGTTTGCGCCCCATTAGTGAAATAAACATCTGGGGCCCTTCAAATCTTCTATCGGGGATGCTTTTGGCAGTGTGTTTGTATTACTAAAGCGGTTTTCTTTATGGATCTTCTCCTCCTTAAAGTTTTGTGGAGATGATAACGTTTCGAGCTTTTTCTAAAGACGAATTAGAGAGAAAGCTCGAAACGTTATAATCTCCACAAAACTTTAGGCAGGAGAATATCCATAAAGAAAACCACTATATTATCCCAGGCTGCAATGAAATTATCCAAAGTTTGACCTTGAACTGTGTGAACAGCGCAAATACCCATCTTATTTGATTGTGACAACGCAAATACCCATCTTATTTGATCGTGACAACGCAAATACCCATCTTATTTGATCGTGACAACGCAAATACCACCTTAGTTAATCGTGACAACACAAATACGATTCTAATTAATCGTGACAATGAAAAAACATTTTAAATCACTGGGTTAATTAAGTAGCACGACATACATGTAAATAACTCACCACCTCGACAAATTGTACACCCAAGTTCAATGTTCTTATAAGGAAAATCATACTGTACTGGTTTACGCTAAATAGAAATAGTTTCCTCCATGTTAAGTGCAATAAAAAACTTAACGTGCATGCTACAGTAAAGAGAGTATGTTGAACTTAAACAAAACTCCAGAAGTATACGGATTCTAAAATCTCTCTTCAAAATTGTTAAAAAAAACAACAACTAAAACTTCATAATAGCACGCAGTGTTTTACTTCTTCCCATGTCATTGTCTTGTGTCTGCAGTGTTTAACTTCTCGCATGTTATCTTGTATCTGCAACCTTTTAAACACTCTTATGTTGTCATTTATCCAGTGTATTAACCGCCCTTTTTTAAGTGCTCTTATGTCGCATTGTATCTGTAGTAGAGACGACAGTATAAGAGGCTTGGGGGAGGCTTAGTCTCCTCAAATAAAACTCCCAACACAGGGAATTATTCTCACCAATTCAAAAATATTATACAGTATTTCTGGAGAGAGAGAGAGACATAAAAATGGTGTATGTGAGTCACTGCCCTTGTTTCGTCTCTTATCTGGCAAGGTATTAATTATTCATTTGCTGTTGTCTTCTGTCCATGCTACGTTACTGTTCCCACGTTGCCTTGTATTTTCTTCGCTGTGTTTTGACTGTTATTATATAATTACAACATTATTATATGAATTTAAACTGTAGAAACTGAAAAGTGTTCTTCCATACTATAAAAGTATTGACTGAACAAACACAAGCTACTTAATAGTTTAAAATACAACCATTACTGCTCTGGAGAAAAAAAATAGCTAAAACAATTCTGAAAATAAACTACAATAAGGTTTTGCCCACAGATAAAACAAGGCTTGTCAGCATATTGTTACCATAGAATTCAATCGTGTAAACACCATATTTTTTAAGTTACGTGATTTTTAAGACGCCTTTAAATCATTACATTACAGTTGGTGCAGTCAGGGTGTGTGTCGCACAGCCTAAACAACCTGCAGGACACACTGTATTATTAACAGGAATGATAGTTTACCGATTTTCCACTTTCTGTATCTCGGACTGTGGTAATCCAAACTATCACATATTTTCAGTGAATATTCTCTACTGGACTCTTACTTCACATACCAGATTTTAATGCAATCCATTAAAAAATACACGAGATATAAAATATCAAATTTTCATTGAATTTTTCCCTATTTTTTCTTAACACCGAAAGTACGGAAACTTTATTTGATAGAAAAACATATTTAATTTTTATATAAACCACACATGCTAACTTATTAAATGAAAACCACTCAAATTTAACCAAAAGTTTTGCACACGCATACGCAAAAAGTCAAAAGCTATCAATCTAAAAGTTTTACTACAGCTTCACCTAAGAGTAAAAATGGACAGTTTTTACTTTTTTGTCATTTGGATTAAAGACAGCTGATTCAGAACAGCAAAACTATAGGGTGAAAAGATGTGCAGATACATAAGAATTGATTAGGCCCAGCAAACTAGATTATCAGTTTCTAGCTCAAGTTTTCAAATGAATCATATGGATGAACGATTAGTGTTCATTATTCATTTGTTAAATTTTATGAAATTCTCCTAATTAAAAAGCGTTTAGCGTCACGTGATATTTTAAGCAATTAGCGTAAATAATGATGCTTGATACGTCTGTACCGAAAGTTATTTTTGGATTTTTCTACTTGGGGAATGATGGTGGGTAAAACAAAATACGCGGCCTAGCTAACTAATGAATGAATATTTGCTGTAAAATTCTTATCAATCCAATAAGTGTAGCAACCAGTTTGGCCGCCAATTTTGATTTAATTCCTTTAAATCCTCAATCCTTCTTTGGCTCTACCATTTTTTTTTTTCACAACCAAGGTGTTTTTCATTAGATTATTTATACCCTAGAGCCTAATTGTGTCGTCTTGAAAAGATCTTTCGACCAATAAACAGGATTACTTAAATCCAACATGCTCACAAGCTGAGCAGTCAGATAACTAGGTGTGTACGATTGGTGACTAATATACCAGAAGAAAACAAAATGAAAAATATTGGGGTTAAACTTTTAACCTGAATATCACCCTTAATATTTTCTTATTTAATAGGTAATAAAGTTTTCATTTTTTAACAAATTCAAAGGTATGAGAAAAGAGGTAGTGGAGACTTACTTATGTTCAATCAAGTATAATTATCAGAAAAATACTAGAAATAGAAAATGATTACGTAAGTTATTCTTCAATTCATTTTGTATTAATGACAAGAAACTGATCAATATGTACGGTAAAAACGGGTCAACCTGTACAGAAGTTGGGCACTGTTTAGGAACCTCTCCACGTCGTTACACGCTCTGTCTGACGGCCATGATGTTGACAATAGCTCTGCAGCATAATTTCTATTGCAAAAGACTCCGTCCTAAGACTGTCATGTCCAAAGTACAACACTACTCTCTATAGGCTTTCCATGTCCCATTTAGTGTACGAGGACGACGTTTTCCCAGTGCCCGTATGGAATAACATGAATGCCTCTTTCGTTCTCCAACTGCTTGAGGTATGGAACAGTCGAACTGATATATCGTGGAAGTAGCTTGTGTTGCTTTTCCAGGCGGAAGTTCTTGATTATGTTGCATATTGTTGCCTGGAACATGTGGACGACTTTTGTCGCTGATATTTTTGTTCGTAGATTTTTACCCGTTACAAAACATTGAACATTACTTACCACTCCACGGGTTCGACTTTCTGTAAGCATTTCAGGGTGGTCTTCGGGCCCTAGGCTTATCCATATTCGTTTCTTTTCCAAAGCCATTAAATACAAAAGATATCACCGTCTTGGGAATTTTAAATATCCGACCTGAACACGTCTTTATTGTGTGAGTCTATGAAAATTTTACGTTGGAAAGAGTTGTTACACACTCTTTTTAAAAGGGATCTATTTTCGGTGGCATCACACTACCTATAAACGCCAAGCAATGTCAAAACGTAGTTATGATACAATCTATTCCACTGTGACATTATATTGGCTGTGGATGTCACGTGAGTTGCTGATTTGCGTATTCAAAATAGTTTAATATAACATACTTAACCTTTTGTATGTCATTTTTATTTTCTACCCTAAGATTATCAATTATTAAATGATAAAAAATGGCTTATTTGAGTACTATTTCAAAAACATTAACATTTCAAAGCAAAATTACGTAACAAACAAAACCACATAACTACAATACTTTATCGTTATGGCGAAATACACAGAGATATACGTACTTTGGAAAATGTATACTGAGATTGTTATTACGTATTAAAAGAAAGTTCTTACTTTTTAAAGCCCAAGGTTCCATAGCTCTTAATCCCAACATTGTTCTCAAAACCGCTGATTTACAGTTTCCAGGAAGTTTACTTTTCAGTCCAACTTGGATTAAAGATGGAAATATCCTTACTGTAACTTTACCCAAAGTGCTTTCAACTACTTCTTCAAGTTTTGTCCAAGATTGAATTGCTTTATCTTCCGAAGACAAAGGGAGCTCGGTAGAAGAGAAAGATGAAACGGAAGACGCTGATTCTATTATTTCCGACGAACTGGAAATGTTTCTATCTGTGCTTGCAGAAGAAGAAATAGATTGAGCTGAAGGTGGTGGCTGAGGTATATCGGTACTTATCTTTAGTTCTGTCAAGTTCTTACTGACAGCAGCTTTGGTATATACATAGAAATATACGGTTAAAAAGAATAAGGAAATTACCACTTTTTTTGCTTTCGATTGCATTGTGATTTTTGTAGATATTCGTTCCTTTTTCTTCTGCCAACACCCTCAATGATACGATGATAAAAGATGTATATTTGCGGTTAATTGTGGCATCACACACTCAACTGTTATATACCATGGATAACCTGGTTTAGATAAATTCTCTATCTCTGGGTGAAACCACGCTACCTGCATTAGTTGAGAGAACAGGTAAGCAGCATTTCAAATGTAGGTCTGCTCCTCTAACTCACGCGCTGTTTCTTTCGTTTGTTGTCAATGCTATATGTAGCCACCAGGTGGTGCTGAACTTTAGGTAAAACTTTTTTAAACTGTTCGTTCGTGTATGTGGATTTCGAATTGTGGGTAGAAAACCACGTGATTGACACGTGACCTAAACATTCCTGAACCTCTTCAAGGACAACTCTATGATGCTAAACACTTCAGTTGGTCAATGTTAATCAATATATTTAGAATAGTCAGCGTACTGCATTATACATTTTACATTGTTATAGATTTCCAAAGTTCCAGATAACCTTTACTGAAAATATCACAACATTCAATGAAGAAAACGATAAAACGAATGGACTAAAAAAAAGATGAAACTAAAACTCCAAAACCTGCGAAATTATCTGAAAATATTTTAAGCCAAAAGATAATAAAAAACTCATCCAGCCCATTTGAGTTTTTTATTTGTAAAGCATTAATAAGAAATAAAATATTAAAGCACTAATAACAATACATTCTGATCTTTATAAATAAGAATGTAAGAAAAGCATATTGCACGAGCTATAGTCATTATCAACATACGAGGTTGAATTTTAGTTTCACTGTATACAGCTGGATTGCTCGAATCGTAAGTTAATGTTAATATGATACTATTTTATTTCTATTGGTTTCAACCACCAAGAAATTATAATCACAAACACGCAGATATTTATATATACATGTAACAATCTAAAAAAATACAAAGAATGGAGTGAACGTTCGTTCTGTATACCAAGCATATTTATCGTTTTAGTTGCTATACAAGTTGCTATTATTTTGTATTATAAGTCTGCTAATCATTTTAAGCACTAAATTACGTAGTTTTTTTTCAACTCTTTATATTTCATTCTTATATTATGACAGCAAAATACGAAAAGCTAATATTACGAAGTATGTTGTTTTGAATTTCGCGCAAAGCTACACGAGGGATTATTGTTTGTTTGTTTGTTTTTGAATTTCGCGCAAA